GGGGGGTGGGGTTTGGGTGATCGAGGGGATGTGATTGGTTGGTTGGGTTAGATGAATGGTGATGTTTGGGTTGGCGGATATTGGGGGTTGATCTGGAGGGAGCTGAAGGGTGAAGATTATGCAGGGTTTGGACAGGAGGTCGAGATCGAAGTCGAGGTCGGAGTCTGGAACGAGGGATAGAGATCGAGATGGATGGATGGGTTTTGGTGTCGGGGGTTTTTTTTCCAGCGGATAATACTAGTGACGCGTTGTTTAGTGTTTTGTACTATTGGATTTTGAATAGTGAGGTCAGAGGTGCATTTGGTATGTGAGAGGTCTAGTCTGGATGTGCTTCAGTCTCTCTTTTTGCATATTTCTTTCTGAGAGTTCGCACGAGTAGAATGATGGACATTTGGACAGCATTGCTACATAATTTGAGCAAGATTAGGAACTCGGGTATTTACCAAGTTGCTAGCTAGATTACTGTTACATTCGCAACTGCTTGTTTCATGTCGCTTTTGTTCGAGAACGGATAAGCATTGTTTTTTTCGGGGTATTTGTTATCAGTTTCATCTTCTAGACGAAAACTATCTGATTCCTTCTCGCTTACTCTGTCTCAGGATGAACAATAAAATACATGGTATTTATAGCAAAACAAGAATTAATCCAAACCGCAAACACCGTTGCCTTGAGGGGAGTATCGAACTTAAAAGCACGCATAACACGTAGTCAATATTATCTTACAGTCTCATCAATCGCCTTCTGAACGTCAAGTTTAGTAGGTCCACCAGTCCGAAGCTAATAGTACACAAAGACAGATTCAAGCTCCGGCTTTCCTAGTCGTGAGGATATTCATCACGTACGTTACTTACAAAGCAGTGGTGCTCATCATCCCAGCGTTTGAAGTGTCGTCCAGCGAGCTTCAGCAACGCTTCTGAAGGATATGTGTCTTCACTGACGGGTTGAATGTTCTCAGCGGCAACGTAGCGAACTGACTTGTCGCAGACACTACATCTTGGTCAGCAGAGTTCCCAAAATCGAAGAAAAGCCGAGCAAGTCTTACAGGACGTGATAGAAAGCCTGGTTCCTACCATTTGGCAGGGAATCAACGCGCGTGTTCTGAATCCAGTCTTCGTTTGCGTCACACACCACATCCCATCCGGTAATGACGCCCTCGTAACCATACCGCTTGTGTTGAAACAGCTGGCCGACTTTGAAGGAAACGTTCCGCGTACGTTCGGAACGGGTGACTCTGGGTTTGCGTATGGCATCCATTTGATGCATGTTCTGCACAAAGGACAATAACCGGTGCCCTTCGAGTTGATTGTAGAACATGGGGATAACGTAGCGTGATAGCAGGGTAACATCCCACGGGTAATGCATCTGGAAGTGCTCGAGCAGATAAGGCAGGTACTGGCGGCGCCGGATGGTGGTGTGTCCTATATTGGAGGTGTCATCATTTGGTCCAAGGAGCAACATAGCCCATATGGTTGCGTAAAAGGCATTGTCCATGTCGGGATTGGCGTTTATCCATGACGATTGGATGGTACCCATTCCAGCCTCGGTTTCGCGAATCATTTGCACAGAGTTCATGATGTTGCGTGCTGTACGCAGAACCATTTCTCTTGTGTTAGTATCGCTCAGGAAACTTTGATGTTCGCTACTCGGGACACCCATGTTCCGTAGTGTGCGCTGCAAGTCGCCCTGTCGCACTTCTGACGTAGAGCGGAAAGGATCCAGGTACATGTATTCGCGTTCACTGGAGCTGGTAGGCTTGTACTTTCCATTAAGATCATAGTTCTTGGGTGCGTACACAAGAGTGTAGACATGAAAGAGGAAGCCACAAGGCCGCGCATCGAGGCCAACGCGTCGAGCTATCGCACAGTATATGGCTACAGAGATCAGAGGAAGTGACTCATGGGCAGCCGAGCGCAGTACGAGTCCGATGAACGAGTTCCGCAGCGCACGGTATGAAGCATCGGGAACACCGTTGAAGCCGCGATCCCGAAGGAATGAGGCTAGGGTATAAGCCTTGTCGCGTGGACTCCAGTCACGGAAGTTTGGGTATTCTTGCAGCAGGCCGTCAGCTAGTTCGCCGATGTCGTTCGCGACGACATCAACATCAACCTCTTCACCAACTCTGGCAAACACATCGTATGCGCCTAGAGCTCTCTCGATGGGTACGTCATTTCCATCATGCAGACTAGTCCATACCTTGATGGCGACTTCACGATGTATGCGCTCCAGGACGGCATTCGCATAGTATCTTCTTGCCAGCACATCTTCGGCATCGTCTGGACAGGCGCATTCTTTGAGCAGTGTCTCTTTTGCGTCGTACCCATAGTCTGCAATGTCGTTGATGCAGCGGATGCGCCCGTGCTGAGTGGCGATGATGTGATTGAGCAGTTCTCTTGTACGGCGGTTAATTGTGTGTTTAGTCATGTACAAGGCGCGCCAATCTACGTCGGACAAGGGCGCGGCAAACTTTGCGGCGATGTTGTGGCGAGAATCCCATGTTTTGAACTGCGTCTTGCAAAGGTGACGCCAGATGATGGGCGCATCGGTTGTGAGCCGCTTGATGAGCCTGTTCGTCTGCGATACAGCGACGAGAGAGTGAGGATCCAGATTCAGGAATATGGCCTCGAGAATCTCCGTCGGCAGATTAGTGAAGCAGGGACGCGCCATGATGAGCCGCGGGGTAAATCAAGTCAGCGCAGGCGCGCAGGCAGAGGGCTATGAAAGCGTGAGAGATGAGAATCTGGCGGCCATGCGATATTAGTGACGGGCTTGGGGCGACGGCGGCAAGTGGTGATCAAGTCTTCGCGCCGGATTGCGTCAATGTTGAGGCATGGCTGGGGCGGCGACGATGATGGCATCGCATACTGACTTCGCTTATCGCTTATCAACCAGCCTCGGCAGCCATGTTGCGATACTGCACCTCACTGTTCTAGCATTCCCTTCCGCGGTACAGAACGGACGGGAGTAGTGTGAAGTTAGTAGTAGTGTGCCTGTCGGTATATGTGCTGGGGCTAAGACGAATGTTTCGTGCGGAGGCGGAGGCGGAGGCGGAGGACGGAAATAGCGCCATACTTACATCCGCACCTTGTCTGACATCTGAGCCTTGACATCCGCAGACTAGACTCGTTCGGTGCGATGAACAATCAAAAATCTTGATGATGGTTGCTGACAGGCGAATGATCAGTGGTCACAACCAGTTGGGCCTGGCTGGATTCGTACCCAAACGAAAGCCCCACGCCTGCAAGACAACTTTGCGAACAATGCTGCCGACGCACGATCCGGACACAGCTGTCATACTTGAAGCACAAGCACAAAGGTCGTCCACGTTTAGTCCGGCAGGGCGCGCGATGGGTTCCGATTCCCGCGTTCCGAGAGGCCCGACCGGTGTACTATGTACCGTAGCCACAGTTGATGTCACTGCTTTTGACGCACCGCCGCACTGCATTAAACAACATGACACCCTAGAAGCGCGCATCTCATCTTACTGCTCCCCTCTTCCCCCTCCCGACTCTCTTGTATTCCTTTGATTCCACCCTGCTTCTTCATCCTTCACCATGGCCGAGCTAAGCAGAGTTGAGTCGATGCAATACCCTGCCGGCCATTTGTCCCATCTTTCGGAGAATCAACAGTCCCAGCTTGTCGAGTTCAAGGCCATCTGCGAGAAGGCTGGCTACTACACGCCTGCAGTCGGGCAGAAACATGCAAGCCATGACGACGAGACTTTACTGTGCGTGCAAAACTCTAGTAAATCGCGACAAGATTAGTGGGGCGCTGACCAGGAACAGGCGCTACTTGCGCGCACGTCGTTTTGTTCCCCAAGAAGCCTTCAAGCAGTTCAAAGACACTGAAGATTGGCGCAAGGAGAACAAGCTGAGCGAGATCTTCAACACCATTGATGTTGAGGAGTACGAGCAGACACGTCGTCTGGTACCGATCCCCAGACCCACCAAATGCTCACCTCTCTGACAAGCTCACCCAGTATCCGCAATGGCTTGGCCGACGTGACAAGCGCGGCATTCCCCTCTTCCTCTTCGAAGTCGCCCCGCTCAATTCCAAGAATATCTCTGCATACGAAAAGCTACTCGCAAAGTCAAAGACCACCCTTCCCAACGTTCCAACCAAGAATCTGCGCCTCTTCGCCCTCTATGAATCCCTTACAAGGTTCTACTCACCATTGTGCTCCATGGTGCCTCGCGCCTACCCGGAGACTCCCATTTCGCAGAGTAACAACATTGTGGATATCAGTAATGTTGGTCTGAAGCAGTTTTGGAATCTCAAAGGACACATGCAGGACGCTTCCGTCCTAGCCACAGCACATTACCCAGAGACACTCGACAGGATATTTGTATGTGTACACAAATGTATACCCGATCACTCCAGCAAGACTGACAGACTATTAGATTGTTGGCGCGCCTAGCTTCTTCCCCACCGTCTGGGGCTGGGTCAAGCGATGGTTTGATCCCATCACGGTATCCAAAATCTTCATCCTTTCCCCGTCGAACGTATACTCCACACTATCCCAATATATCGACCACGACAACATTCCTAAGAAGTACGGCGGCGGCCTCGACTTTGAGTGGGGCCAATTGCCCAACCTGGAACCGACCATTGAGGCGCAAATGAAGTGGGAGAAGCCAAACATACAGAATGGACGTAAGACGTTCCCAATTGGACCACTGAAGTGGGAAGATGGAAAAGACGGAGCAATGGAGGCTTGGGGCGTTGGCACCGAGGGCGGCGCACAGAGACACGAGCTCATCTTCACCATCCCTAACCCCGTGGGCTACAGACAAGGGGATGTGATTCCACCTACACCTGTAGCTGAGATTGGAGATCCCCTCACAACAACGGGAACAGCTACCCACCCCCCAGATAGCGATGTGCCAGACGTAGACACCCCACCTTCAGAACCCGAAAGCCCAACCACAACCACTTCACCCACCACCACAACCCTGCCCATCCGCTCCGGCACCTCAGAACCTCGCTTTGAGCAACAAAGCCACACGCACGCCTCGGGACAATTGGCAGAGGGTACCCCCGACGCCGCAACCATCGACCATGGTCACGGCGACAAGAGCGTCAGCGTCGAAACCCGCACCATTGGCCAGGCTCCCAAAGAGGTACCTCTCCCCGATCCACAACCACCCGCTGCCCCCAGTTACCTAGACCAAGCTAAATCCGCCGCCGCATCAGCCTCCGCCGTAGTCACTTCCACCGCCACTTCGGCTGCTTCAGCCGTAGCCAGCGTCGTCAACGGCAAGGAGCAAGATAAGCCTGCGGAGCCGGCCCGAGAAAAGACTCCCGAGGAAAAAGAAATCGATCGTCAGATTGATGCTACGAGCAACAAGGATGTAGAGGCCTTTTTGAGGGATCAGACCGCGAGTCGGAGCCAAGTCGTTAGTTCGTAGTACAGCTAACTGTTGAAACGAGAATTCTAGGGGGGTTTTTGATTTGAATACAAGGGGGGAGAGGAATTGGAAAAAGGAAAGGAGGAAATTGTAGTGATACCACCGAACTTTTACACCCCCATGGAAATTCTCAATTCACACGTAACTACACATACACAAACACATCTGTATCTTCCATGCTGTTGATTTGAATGATATTGAAAAAAAAACTCTGATTCTTGGTATTAACGAGCTTACCCCCTCTTTAATCTTTGCATAGGCCAAACGAACACAGTTCTTCACCTCTGCAATATGTTTCGCACACAAGTAATCAGTCAATCAATCAACCAATCAATCAGACAAATGAAAAAAAAGACATAAGACGCTTCCACACGAAAAGAGCTCAAACTTTCCAAACGCCCATAAATGCAAGAAAAAGTTCATTCCCCATCTCTCCGCAACCCCATTCATGTCCTTCACTTGACTTCTCAATACGTCAACATCTTCTGTCCCCCACTCTTTCCATCAACGCCCTCGCCCGGTCTGGCAAAACTACACCAGCGATCCTTAATCGAAACAACCTCATACGTACCCTCTTCCTGAACAGGGATACTCATTGTCATTTCGTGGCTAACTTCCGTCCGAATCTCCAGCACCTTGCTCTTTCTTCCCTTGTTGGCATTGGTACTGCGGGTATAAGTGAATTCAAAGGGTGGGGTACCCCAGAACTGGAATTCGAGATCGGTGCCGCCGCCCTCGTGGATGTCGACTTCGGTGACTTGGCCGCCCGAGAGGCGCACAGAGGGGATGGGGTGGATGGTCTTGGTGAGGTCCAGACTGGCGAGACATTCTGACGCGGAGTCGCGGAGACCGGTGATAGTGAAGGTTCCGGGGAGCTCGGCCAGACGGCGGAAGGTGGTGCCTGGGTTGGATGCCTTTCGTTCTTGCTTCTCGAATGTGTAGAAGACTGTAAAGGGGGATTGGCCACCAAGCGCGAACGAGAGGCGCTCGCCGACGCAGAAATCCTGGCGGTCTTCCAGAGGTGTGGCCGTCGGGGCATCGTGCACGCTGATCTGGACACGGGGACCGCCTGGTGGGGGCTTGAGGGTACATCCGCGCGAGTCGCGAACCTTGCGGATAGAGATGGACGAGTGGCCTAGATGCATCTTACGGTGCTCAATCTTGAGATCGTACTTGTTCGTAGGAATGTTCTTGTGAATGCTGATCTCCGGTTTGGGTGTACCCTGGTGCTTGATCTCAACCTCGAGGTAGAAGGGTGCGACGCCCTCCAAAGTGATGGGGATGACCTCTTCTCCCTCTGATTCTCGGGAGCAGTAACTGTACGTCTTTCCAGGCTTGTCGAAGCGCGCACTCGGTCGTGAGTGGACGGTTTGCTGGATAGTGACGGGGGAGAAATGCTTCTTCGAATGGTCATAGCGAGAGTCGGCAAGCTTCAAGAAAGTGTACTCATAAGTACCAGCCTTGGAGGTTTCCGATCGTATAGAAGCGAAGCCACCTGCAGTGTGAAGATCCTTCTCACTAACGGAGGCTGTCTTGCCCTTCTTGTCCTTGTACTCCTGCCGGTAAGAAATGTCAAAGGGAGGGTTACCTATAATATAGTCAGTATGATGATAGTCAATGGTAGAGCAGAGTACTCACCAGTCAGGGAGACATCAAATGCATCCTCATCGCCTTCACAAACGGGCTCTTTGATGTATTTGGTTCCATCAAGAATGGCGCTCTTTTCGGGAACGCTGAGCGAGGGTCGAGCCACCCAAGAAACATGGAATTGATCCGCCGACTCATCAATCAGACCTGGACAGATAGAGTCCCTGACTGAAATAAGTTGATATGTGCCATCCGTCTTGACATCAAGCCACGAGTTGGGGTTCTGGAAAGACTCTCGTTTGACTTCCTTGGTCTTCAAGTTCTCGTACTTGAGCGACCAAGGACCGTTTCCAGTAAAGCGAAGTGGTAATCCAACCTGCCGGCTTTCCAGTGCCAGTACCGACTGCTTGCCCTCAATGTGACCGAAGTAAGCCTTGGGTCGCTCATGTCGTACATTAACCCTAGCTTCTTCCTTGAGAACTTCTTTGCATTTGGCTTTATCGGTAACACTGGTCAATGCCACAACGTACTCTCCACCGCTGCTAAGCTTGTCGGTTCGAATAGTGTAGTGTGCGTTTTCGGTTTCGATAGAGCGCCTTGTACGCTTGCCGTTGTGAACAATCTCGTATTCCAGTTTCCAGGGTGCCTCTCCAACGAACCCAACGTCGAACT